AGTGAGACTCTAAAGTAAAGAAAAATAAAATGTATTTCTGTTCCTTGCCTTGTTCTGGGGAGTTTGGGTCATTTAATACTCCAGAATTGCTGCGTCCCTTAAGGTACTTGTAAACATTAAAGTTGGCTTGTAAAAGGCATTACTACTTAGTTCCACAAATATTTAATTATGTGTATTGTGGATTGCATAAATAAAGCAGGAAATATAAGGGGGAAAAATCTGTGGTGTTCAGTCATTGTTTTACTAGACTTCAAATTTTTTCTCATTACTTCATGAAATTCTTCTCTAATTCAATCTTTGTCTTTTGTCTTTGCTGCCTTGCAGGGTTGGTACAGTAGGCCTCACTAAACTTAGCTGCAACTAAGAATTTCTCCTACATCAACTGAGTTAAGGCTGATGCTCTTGTGGAATGTGGATTAAAAGTGCGTGCTAAGTTCCAAATTTCCATTTGAGAAGCGGAGAAAGTAAATGTACCACAACCACCAGCATCAGGACAGCAAACCAAGGGACAAAGAATTTGATCCACAGTGTTGATATATGTTAACTGGTTCACGTGTTGCTTAAAAGACGTTTGCTGGGGGGCGAGAAGTGGACGTCAGCTGTGCGAAGTCATTTTGTTTACAAAAATGAGGGCTTCTTTGGAAACAGCAGACATTGCCATTGTGGCACTGTACTTCGTGCTTGTAATGTGCATAGGTTTTTTTGCCATGTGGAAATACAATCGGAGCACCGTAAGTGGCTACTTTTTGGCAGGGCGTTCTATGACCTGGGTAGCTATTGGTGCATCTTTATTTGTGAGCAATATTGGAAGTGAACATTTCATTGGGCTCGCAGGATCTGGAGCGGCAAGTGGATTTGCAGTAGGTGCATGGGAATTCAACGCCTTAATGCTTTTGCAGCTTTTAGGATGGGTCTTCGTCCCAGTCTACATCCGGTCGGGAGTATACACCATGCCTGAATACTTGTCCAAGCGTTTTGGAGGGCATAGAATTCAAATATATTTTGCAGCATTGTCTCTAATTCTTTATATCTTCACCAAACTCTCAGTTGACTTGTATTCAGGGGCACTTTTTATTCAAGAATCGCTAGGTTGGAACCTCTATTTGTCAGTTATCCTCCTTATTGGAATGACTGCACTGTTGACTGTGACTGGAGGTCTTGTGGCTGTCATCTACACAGACACCCTTCAAGCTCTGCTTATGATTATTGGTGCCCTCACACTTATGATCATAAGTATTATGGAGGTTGGTGGGTTTGAAGAAGTTAAAAGAAGGTACATGTTAGCGTCACCAAATATTACGTCTATCTTGTTAACCTACAACATTTCCAATACCAATTCCTGCAATGTGGACCCAAAGCCCGATGCTCTTAAAATGTTGCGCGAGCCAACAGATGAAGATATTCCCTGGCCTGGATTTCTACTGGGACAGACCCCAGCTTCTGTCTGGTACTGGTGTGCCGATCAAGTCATAGTTCAGCGAGTTTTAGCTGCAAAAAATATTGCTCATGCCAAAGGATCCACTCTGATGGCAGGCTTCTTAAAGTTGCTGCCGATGTTTATTATAGTTGTCCCAGGGATGATTTCACGAATACTGTTTGCAGATGATATCGCCTGCATTAATCCGGAACACTGTTTTCAAGTCTGCGGGAGCAGAGCTGGATGCTCTAACATTGCCTACCCACGTTTGGTGATGAAACTTGTGCCGGTTGGTCTGCGGGGACTGATGATGGCTGTGATGATCGCTGCACTGATGAGTGACTTGGACTCGATATTCAACAGTGCCAGCACCATATTCACACTTGACGTCTACAAACAGACGTCTAGAGAACTGATGATTGTGGGAAGAGTCTTTGTTGCGTTCATGGTAGTTATAAGCATTGCCTGGGTCCCGATAATTGTAGAAATGCAAGGTGGTCAGATGTACCTTTATATTCAAGAGGTAGCGGACTATTTGACCCCACCGGTAGCTGCTCTGTTTCTTATGGGTATCTTTTGGAAGCGTTGCAATGAGCAGGGGGCTTTCTATGGTGGAATGGCCGGGTTTGTTCTTGGAGCGATACGGTTGATACTGGCATTTATTTATCGTGCTCCGGAGTGTAACCAGCTGGATACTAGGCCAAGCTTTATCAAAAACATCCATTACATGTATGTTGCAACAGCTCTGTTCTGGATCACTGGGATTGTGACCTTTGTAGTAAGCCTCCTCACGCCTCCGCCTACGAAGGAGCAGGTTCGGACGACCACTTTCTGGGCCGTGAAGAACAGGAATGTAAAAGAGAATGCCGCAAAGGGGGAACTGTACAAAGTGCAAGAAAAGAGCATCCTCAAGTGCAATGAAAACGCTAACCATATCATTCCAAACGGCAAATCGGAAGAAAATATTAAGAATGTTAAGCCGGAGGATATCAATCTTCTGGTTACTTGCAGAGATGACAGCAACCCAGTGATTTCTGTGAGTCACTCTGAAGTTGAGACACCAGTTGACTGTTACTCGAACGGACAAGCGGCTTTGATGGGGGAGAAAAAGCACGAGGAAGAGACTGATGATAGAGAGAGACATTTGAAATTCATAGATTGGTTCTGTGGCTTTAAAAGTAAAAACATGAACAAGAGAGCTGTTCGGGAGATCGAGGAAGAGACTGTTTGTTTACAAATGCTGGAAGAGACTCCAAAAGTTAAACTATTACTAAATACTGGACTGGTCTGTGTCTGTTCACTTGGAATATTCATGTTTGTCTATTTCTCTCTGTGAGTGAATAGTGAACTTTTAAGGGTATGGCTAAACATGCAGAAGTTGATACAGGTCTCTGGAGATTTTGTTTGTTGGGGTTTTTTTGTTTTGTTTTGTTTTGTTTTTCCTGTTCAAATAACATAACTGCAACCCAGGCATTGTTTACGCTGTAATTGTAAGATCAACTCAACTTTAGCCTATTTAGAGACCATTTGAGACATGTTGTCCTATCTCTGCTGAAGGCAGAACGTGTCATGTGGTGTCTTTTTTTTTCCCCTTTTTCCTTTTGTGTTTTTTGTTTTGTTTCGTTTTTTGGTTTTTTTGTGGGGTTTTTTTGCATTTGCAGCACTAATCTTTTGTTTTTCCATGTATACACGTATAAATATACCAAAGGCAGGAGGCAGGTGGCTGTGTTTGAAGTCAGTTACAGAGCTCAGTCAGCATTAGGGTGCAGATAACAAGTAATCATTTACTGATGTGTAAAATCTAAATGATTAAAGCTCTGTCGAAAAATTTTTAAAAGTAAGGCTGCGATGCACGTTGTTGTGTAGTTGTTCTTTGTAACATAGCTATTTTACCTTGGCCAACTTAGCACTTTTTAATTTTGCTCACTGCTTCTAGGTTTATTTTTCAGTTTCTCATTTCTTTTATGGCAACAACAGGATGATATTTTGTCTCATCTTGTAGCACTTAAAACACGATAGCTGTTAGTCTCTTTTTTTCTCCGTAAGAAAATTTTTGTCTTTTGATTTTATCCACTGTAAATTCCATTGCTGAAAAGTTGCTGTATTTAAAAAAAGAAAAGGAAAAAAAACCCAAACAACCTGGAGATGACAAACTGGCAATGGAGGAGAGGGGAAAAGGAGAAAAAGAAATATTCTTTATTTGGGTTTTGTAGTATATTGAAATAGAATAGTATATATTCAGCCTCTTCAGTCCCCAAACCTTTAGGACATAATTAGGGTTAGCCTCTTTTTAGAGAAAAATCTGTACATAGGTTCTACCACATGGGAAAAAGAGAAGTGTGAGACTTTGCATGTCTTCAGTTTGGGAAGCACACTGAAAAATAACTCTCTTCCTCTGCTGTGTACATCTAGAAGGAAATACTCCGCAGCCCTAACACTGCTGCATACTGAGTCTGTAAGGGGAGAAAAACAAGTGGGAAGACAAGAGGAAGGGGAAGAGGGGGAAAGAGGTGGAAGTGGTCGTTATTTTCCAGAGTTCTTTTGCCTCATGTCTTCTCCCACTTCCCCTTTCATCCTGTCAAATCTTCCTTCTTTAAGGAATGACTCTTGAGGGATTCTGTGCCAGGAGATAAGGAGCGCATGCAGTCGTAATCTGTGTCGGCAATTGAGGTCTGCCCTTAACGATTCTTCAAAAAAAGTGAAACTTTTCCCAGGCGGTCGCAGATGATCAGTAGGTCTCGAGATGCTGAGGTTCTTTTCCCTTGACGGATGGATGCCGGAGGCAGGGATGAACAGTTTCCAGGTGTGGAGGACGTGTGTGCAGCAAGTCAGTGGAGCTCAGCAGACCGAAAGGTTGCAAAGCTCAGTCCACTTCCCCCTTGGTAAAGCAGGAGAATGTGTTGCCTTCCTGGGTGCTCTCGCCCTTATGCTAAACCAAGTCAGGGCCTGTTTTTGGGTGCAGAGGCCAGCTGACAGTGTGTGGCTGCACTCATAGTATTAAACTCCCTTACTGTCCAGGACAGAGAGGTCATATCCAGGCTTCCCATGAAAATAATTCCTCCTGTTGTCTTTGTTCCCCAGCTCATCTAGGGAATTGGTTGGGAGAGCACAAACTGGCTGGGCCAAAAATGGTCTAAGGGACCATGCTGACAACTCAACAGCATCGATTCAAGGGCCCAGAAATGTTTCCTTGGCACACTGTAATTTAATAATACAAAGGAGAACCAATATCTATGGGTGAAATAGTTCTGTAGAGGTGAAATTTGGGTTAATCCTGCTATTAGCTGCTGGAGAAAGTTTGCTTTCCAGTATAGTGGTGCCGTGAGCTGCAGGCTGTCCAAATAGCTTTTAATAGTGTGATGTACAATACATATTTTCAGATAAAATTCTGAACTTCCATTTTTGTTGGTTTGGTTTGTTTTTGTTTTTAAATCAATTGAATCCCGTTAATTCCGAGACCTTAAACGGAGGCCAAGATGTCCCACCTTTCTCCACTTTGTTTAGTTGTTGCTGCTGGAAAGTAGACTCCTCTAACTGGAAAAACATTAATAAGTGTAGGAGCAGCGTTGCAATATATATAGAAGAGGAGAGTTACCATACCTGAGTGTTGGTGTTAATACCAGCGTGACAAGACACATGTTCTTATGGTTTATGTGGCTGGCTTCATTCAGAAAAATATTTTAAATCCTTTTTAATGGAAAAATTGTAGTATGTGAAATATGTTAATGACATCTCAAGTTAATTCATTAGTGGGCTGAGTTGGGAAGGTTGGTACTACAAGAAAGATGTAAAACAGTTAATTGATTCTATGCAGGATAAAGTAATCTAGGGCAAAATTTGATCTTAGTGGGATGAAAAATAACCTGTGGAGGGTGAAGATAAGTCTCAGTCCAACAATCTCTTCTTGAAAAGGCTGGGATATGGCTAATATGCCTAATTTGGCACAGGAAAAACTCGTACCAGGCACTGTCCCTTAGTAACTTGGCATGTCTTTCTATCACTGACCGGTACTTGGATATTCCAGACGGGTCCTCTTTGCTCTCGGTATTAACAAATGCATTGCCACCTAACCTGTGAAGCCAGGTTAGCTCAGGGACCCTTGTGCTTGGCTGCCATTGCTTCATCTGTGCTTGCTTTTTTCCCAGGGTGCCTTATGTGGTTATGAAGCTGAAGGCATGGCTTTTGTTGCCACCTGAAGTGTGGTTTGCTTATAATGGCTTTTCCCGGCTTGTTTTTCCTCCTCTCTTCCGCCCCCCCCCCAAGTAATTTGCTATTTAAAGAGAATGCTGTTTAAAGGGTTAATACACAGGATGTCTGTATCCTGTGCAGTATAACTACAGTCAGATCCATGGTGAAATTATCCTTCGGCTGTGGTGGGGAGTCATAATCCTTCAGAAATGTATGGTGCAGCCTTTGACTGTTGAATCTGAGATAGTCCATCTCCCAGTTAATCTATTCTCACTTTTGCTAAAGTAACGAGTTGCCGCATTAATTGCAGTGGTACTTGGCAGTCAGTCAGGATCTTAATAAAGTAATACTTTGCATCCCCCCCATCCTTAGACCTGTTATTGTGAAGAAGCTTTTAAGCAAATTACTTCTCCAGTGTTTTTTCTCTTAAGTTGTTTAAAAATGTGTTTCTATGCTACTCTCTGCCTAATGCCGGCCTCTTCAGTCGTATTCTGTTTTCATGTCTTAGAGTCATAGAACTTGCTGATGTTCTTCGCTGCATATAACCACTTAAAAAAAGGCCTTTATTAGGAAAAAAAAAAATTACAAGGCTTCAAGCAAACTATTGGTGAGCAAGTACCTTTCCCTGTGTTATGGACCTTAGTATAAGAAGTTGCTTGAGGGTTTTCTATAGTGTAAACATGCCTTTGCTAATTTTCTGATCGTGATCTATGTGGAAGAGGTGTTAACCCACGTTAACATGTTTTGGTTTAAACACCAACTTTTTGGTCCAGTAAAACTATAAAAGTGTCTCCCATAATGGACAATTGGTTCCATAAATTTTAATGCCTGGCCTCCTCCTCGGTGGGACTGGCTAGTCATGCAGGGGTAGATGCAGGAGGACACGTGCTTCTGTCTCGCAGCGATTGGTTTATTTATTGCCTTGAGCTTAGAACGACAGTCTTGAAAAACTTATTTTGGAATGACACCTTTTTTTGTTGTTATTTTCCGTAACTTATTTTTCTGTTAAGATATTTGAATTTTCTCCCAGAAATTTGTTGGAAGCCTTTTATTTAAAAAAGAAAATAAAAATAAAAAAGGAAGAGGCTTCTTGAGAGCTAAATAGTACTTTCTGGGAGACTATTCTTATTTAATTTTTTTTTTTTTTAAATGAATGATTTGATGCTATTCTCTGCCAAAGTTTGGGGTTTTTTTTGTGGTTTTTGTTATTTCTCCTGTTAGCTTTTACTAATACCTGAAAGGAAACAGTGAGAGATTGTAAGAAATTAAAATGGCCTTCAATATACCGCTTGTGTATTTTCTACTTCTCCACTTCTGTGTTCCCCTTTCCACCCTAATCCCAGAAGGGCCAGCATGAGACTTCTGATGCAAGTCATGAGAGTACTGTAACTGAGTAGTGAAAAGGATTTCCCACAAGGTTGCAGTGAAGTGGGCAGAGCCATCAAAGGATCTCTGCACAAACACTTAAAGCAGAAGATGCTTACAACTTTAAAACGTACAGCTTTATTTTTTTTATATATATATTTTTTTAAATCCTAAGATAAAGGAGGTGTTGGGAGATGCTCCCTTTCAGAGAACAGGATACATGGAAGAAGTTAGAGTTGCTAAGCTCTAGCTTTCTTGAGGAAATCTTTGGATTTAGCATGTATAGCAAAGCAAAAATATTCATCTGTTAATTTGGTATTCTGTATGTTCTGTGCCCTTAAATGTAATTGTTTTGAAAAGAAAACTAACCTTGTTATGTGGTGTTAAAAAGCAGACTTGTGTGCAATGTTTTAAATTTTTTTTAAGAAAATGTTTGTATATAATTAAATGGTTTAATGTGCTTTAATTGGCCTAAGGTAAAGAGTAGTCCTAGAATGTAAACATATATAATTAGGATTTCTGATTTCACTGTGAGATCTCTGAACTTTCTTGTTTTGCAAAGTGGTTTGTTTTGTTTACAAAACACTTTCGATTATTTCTTTCATGGTGTTGGTTTAAAGGCATTTGCTTCACTTCTGTTCTAATATTGAATTCATGGTATAGTGACATCTGGTGACACTTAGCATTATCAGTTTCACTGTGTAAAGTCAGACACTTTGAGCAAAAATGGTAATGATATGACAATTCTCTGTGTCTATGAATACACGTTTTTAAATGAGGTGGTTATAAAAATAGTTGCTGTGCAAAATGTTAGTAGTCTTCTTCAAGAAGAAAGCAAATTTTCTAATATCACTAGAGCAGTCTCTTCATTCATCTTATTTTTAAAGCACAGTGTCAAAGTGATGCTGCTTTACCTTGTATCTCTGATATAATGTTTTTTTAGATATCTGTGAAGTATTTTTGGTTTTTTTGTTGCTGTTATATTTTTCTGCAAATTTTATATAAAATACCAGTTAATGAACTGCCTTTTTGTTTTTTTAACTATTCAACTAAAATACATTTCAGACCAAAACCAAATGATATCATATAGCATTTGAAACCTGCCTTTTTCCTTGTCCCTTGTTTTTTTTGAAATAAGCCAAATGGGCATGTAGATAAGATCACTATAATGGGTCCAGGTCTCTTTTGGTAAAGTGTTATTTAAAGGTCTGTTAAGATCTTATAAGACAATATACTGAAAAAAATTATTGTAGTAGGAATATAGATTTAGAAGTGTTAATGAGATTAATACAGCTTAATTATATTGTAAGTTGCTACTGTCCATAATGACAAGCTTTTTGTCATAGAAACGATGTATGATAAATTAATTTTGGTCTAGTGTATAGAATTATCATATTGCTATAAATCTTTGAAGTAAATCTGATGCAAAATTTTCATAGTTAGCATTGCTGGCCCTGTGTATACTGTTCTTTGTATACTGTATGCATATTATTTTGCCTACTGCATTAGTCTTCAAACTAAAACTCTTATTAGAGAGTATTTGGATACTTCAGACTGTGTTTCTTGCAGTTTACATTCCTTTACCATGGCATTTTGTCCTGTCTAAAAGTATTGTATGGAAATGTTTAAAACTTCTGTACAAAGTTTCAATAAAAATAGAGGAAAAAAAAAAAAACAAAACAGAATAGAAATTTGTGAAGCTGTTTTGGAGAACTTGTCCATAATTACGTCATGCATATTCTTACTTGTAGTAAGCGTTGCATCCCTATACATATAAAGATACTTCTCTTTTTGCCCCCATTATTAAAAGGCAGACCTCTTGAAGCAGGGCACGGGCAGAGTGGTAAAAACCACCAAACTAGATTCTTTAAAACTGCAAGAACTTAGGGATCCAAAACTTGGTTGCAGAGTTTGGCTGCAAAACTTAACGCCGGTTCACGTTGTGGGGGGACGTGGGGTGGGGAGTGGGCTGGACTGACCTTTCTATGCCCTGAAGCTCAGGACGCTGGCAGGGCAAGGCTAACCACCTGAAGCACTCTGCAGAGCAGCAGCTTGCATGCAAAACAAGATATGGGTGAACCCTCATTTAGCAGAGCAGCCTTGTTGGATATTGTGCAAAATTGTTTGTTTGTTTTCTTGTTTTTTCTTTTTTCTTCTTTAAATGCCCTGTTCAACTGCTGCTTAACCAATTCTTGAGTGGGATAGGACCTTCCTACTTGATTTTGGAGTGTCCTTAAATACCTCCAGTTGTGCTTCGGTATCCCTCTGGGACTGCCCCAGCCTGGATGCCTCGGGGTCTGTCTTGTATTTGTTTCTGACTGCAATCTAGTGCCTGGTGCCCAAGTCCTCCAAGGAGCCCCTGCCAGCAGTCACGCTCTGAGAAGGATGCGTGTGATGCTGTCTTCTCCCTTGTAGGAAGCAGTTACAGCTTGTGGTGGGCAGTGCTTAGATAGTTGCCTTTGGGGAGGGAAGGATACTCTCATGATTTTTGTTTGGAAAAGATTAAAACACCAACATGGTTCTGGAAGCAGAGACCAAAGATGAGTCTTCCACTTCCTCCTCCCCTGCATCCCTCCCTCATAAGGAAATATTTGAACTAATAGCCATGGAAAGCATGGTGTGAATCACGACTTCTGCGTTGTCCAATGGTGACAGTTCAGCAAGGAGGGGGGCAGGTTAATCACCTGCGGACTGGGGATGAAGATGTCCTTTTAGAGATGTTGGCATCTTTTTAGAGATAGGTGCATTTGCAAAAGTTGTGGGAAGGACACTAAAGCCAGATTTTCAGCTGCAGAGGAAATACTGCATTCGTCAAAACTTATTCTTGGTATTCTCTTCTTTTGCCGCTGTTATAAAAGAAAAGTGGAAGCTGTTAGTTTGTTGAAGGAATGGGTACAAAACATACTTGGAGAGGAAGCTTTGGGATTTGGGATGAAAAATAAGCAGAGCTTCCAGCCTGCATACTTGGTTTGGATTTGTGATTTCCAGGAAGGAGTGGGACTCCTGTGTTTTTATGAGTTAGCTATTAATTAATTGGTTATCTAATTAGTTTATTAGGTGATTCTCTATTCAGTGAGCAGCTTTCCATTTCATTGATTTTAAAAAAGGCTCGAGAAGCCTCTTTGTCACCAGCTGGTTCCATTTGTATTAGTTAGCAAAGACTCTGTCAATCCCCAATTTACTGATGTCTGAGACTTTGGTGCTTCTTTGGGTGCGGGGTCCTGGCCCAGACAAGTTGTGGGCAGGTTCAATAAATGCTGCAGCAGCATTTATTTTGAGGGTTCACTGGAAAAACCCAAGGAGAGGGTGGTAATGGGTACTCTTTGCCTGTTGGCTCTGAAGTGAACTCTCTCTTCTTGGATGTGGCTGTCCCAGTTTGCCCTGTACTTGTTCTCGTGCCAGGAAAGTGAACGAGCCAGGGGGTTTCAGCTCTCTGATTTCTTCCTGCCTGTCTAGCAAGCACATTTAATTGGGTTGTACTTAGTGATTTTCTTTTTTGATGTTTTTTTTTGGATGTGTTCATAGCCTGATAGGAATAAGGTGACAATTTGACTTTATGGTTGTGATGCTGATAACCCTTAAACTTGTCAGCAACTATTTTTAATACTTACCTGAACCATGAAACTAGTTTTGTAAGTTAGCTTTGAGTACTCCAGTATATATGCTGTAGTGTACAGGAGAACTTGAGCAAGAAATTGTCAAGGTTCACTTTCAGTTGTGCACACCAGTTGGTCAAAACAATGCAACTTCCACCCTAAATGCTATTCTGGTTCAGAGCCAAAGATAGTTACTGTTCTGCAAAAGCGTGAGGATTTAGAAATTATGGCTATGGTCCTCACACACTCTTCGGAAAGTTTTTTACTAACCACGTTCAGCTTTTTCTTAGTCCTGACTTGTCTTTGTTCTTCTATGGCAGTAAGGATGTGCGTGATGGGTGTAACAGCTACGTGTTAGGAACCAGATCTGTATTCCTTAAACAATTTCTCTCATAGAAGGGAGCTCTTCAGTGGCTTAGACTATTCTGGATGGTGCTAGTGGCACACCCTAGGTCTGGAGTGTTGGGGACTTGGTTGGAATATATCCTGACACCCGACTGCTACAGTGGATGCTTTGGACAGTTGCAGGTATTTCTCCCAAGACTGGACTGTTGCTGGCACTCTGAGGCTGGATGCCTCCAACCCAGAGAATGTAAACACTGACTGTATTTGGCCTTTGCAGCTGCGACTCTCAAGCGAACTAGTGTTTGTCTTCTGGAAGCCGTGCAGTGCCCGTTTCGCTTGCTGCCGCGCAGATTTCCCCAATTGCAGACGTGTGAAAGCCGATTTGAAAAATGCTGAATGTGCCCAGAGCAATTACACTGGAAGAACCTCTGTGGGTTCAGAGCTGCCTGTGCCTGTGCTGTGAGTGAGCTATGGCCTGTGGGGGGAAGTACCAGGCTCAGTATTGCCCGGCAGGGAGGCGGCTTGGGTTGGGAACTCTGGTCATGTTGTGCACTGTTTCTAACACACCGAAACCCTTCTTCTTAATACCACTGACTTTGTCCCTGAGGCATCCAGGAAAGCAAATGGTAATAGCAGCAGCATGATGGTGGTTTGATTCGTGTCCCTTCCCCAACTTGCACAGGAGCTGGTGGATGGAGGTGCCAGGCAGCTGAAGGAGCCATTAGCTCTGCGTTCAGGCAGCCTTTTCCTGTAGAACACTTGGGGCAAGGGGATGATGGGCTTCAGCTTACCTTGGAATAGCAGCCATTGTTTTTGGACCCTTTCTGTCAGTATCTGTAAGTCTTCCAAGCTGGTGTTAAATATGTGGGTGAATAGAAAAGCTTAAAATAAGTTGATGAGAGAAAATACTAGGGGAGCCATACACGCAGTGTATGGAGATGGAAACAAGGCTGAGTTAGAGGGGAGAGACTGAAAGAGAGTTTATTTGAGAATAGAGATCTGATCCAGAATTAAAATTCTTACTTAAAATTAGTCTTGTTTTGACAAATTTGATAGTATAGGTGACATTCTTGAGAAGTAAGCTTCCAAACTTAAGTTCCAACTTAATTCTGGTGCTGGGTTGTATGCGTTATTTTTCATCCACAGCCTGTTTTCATAGGAATTACATCATATTAAACATCTTAGTAGGTAAAATGGCACCACAAGACTTCTTATCCAGAGGAGGCATAACCAGCTTTCTCAAGAAAGCAGTAAACTGTAAGAGTCAGCTGTAATCTTGGAAGATGAGGAGGAGGAAAGAGCAAAACTTCTGCTCTCTGTGGTGGTTAAAATACTAAATACATCTAAAAACGCTGTCGTGCACAGGATTTCTTTTTAAAACTTGTCTGAGGATGACTTGATGCAGATCTTGATTAGACTAGGCTGCGCAGTTAAGTCTGGCTTTACATTTTGCTTATCTCAGGGTCTTCTGAAGGTGGATCTGTGAGGTTGGGCAATTGCAGTCCAAACGCTTGAGGAATCAAAGGGAAAGTTTGAGAAGTCAGAAAAAGTTCCAGGGTATCTTAAAACTGGCAGCTCATTGCTTTGGGGAGAGGAATTGATGACCTGAATTGGCGAACTGCAACCATGTATCCCCTCGCAATGTGCAGGTTTACCAGTGAGAAGTATGGAGAGGGTGAAAGAAGCACTGGCTTCTTGACTGTGGTTCCAGCTTCTGTATCACAAGATCGGAGAAGTTGTCTTTTCCTCTCACCTTGCCCTTTTTCTGCTCCTACTGTTATCTTTTTGTTCTCTTCATTGGAATGTCTTCTGTTTTTCATCTTAACAAATGTGGAAACAACAGGAATTGTGTGTGAGTTCATGTGCATGTTCACGTGCATTTCAAAAACCAAAGGTGCTTGAAAACAACTCCCTCCACTCTTTTTTTCCCTTTCCACTCTTGATTATTTAAGCTTAATGAATATATAAAGTAAACTTGATGAAATGTATTCACATCTAAAAGTCGTAAGAGGAACAAAACTAACTTGTAGTTTCTGATAAGCTTGGTCTTAGCAAGTTTCTGATAAGTAGACTTCAGCTGACCAGGAGTGTTACATTGAAGTCCATATTATAATTTGTTGTGGTTGAGAAGAAGAGGGTAAGTTTCTAAATGGAGTTTTAGGGAAGGTGTTTAATTGATTCTGAAGTTGTGGCCAATTGTTACATTAACTGCTGCTAGTAATTAACCCTTGAAATGGCCCTGAATCATGAAGGATTTAGTTGCAGTTTACTTCAGACTTACAAGACACCTTCTAGAGTTCTTTTTAGAAATTATAAAGAGTATCAACTCTCTAAAATGAATTAAATTCAGTTAAGTTCAGTGTTGAGACTGATGTGTTAATTTAACTGTGACTTGGTATTTATAGGGTACTTGTATTGCTTGGTTTTTAGTTCGGTTTCTTTAATAATTTCCTTTGATCTTAAATGTTGAGTTTAAAAAAAAAAAAAAGATATATTGTGGAATTTAGATTCTTTGAAGAAGAAAGGTGGATTTCAGAACAGAAGAGATAGTAGCATCACTTTGACTTTAAAAGTTACTGCTTCCTCTGCATCCAAGTCCCCGGGCTTCATAGTTGCATCAGGTGAAGTTGCTAGTTCCTTGGCTTATACCCTGTTAAAATGCTAATTAAAGATCTGTTTTGAGGATGGGGTGTTATTTTTAATTCAGACTGAGTCAATTTTGATCACTCCCCCAAACTTATTTTTGGTGACTTGCCTGCTGTAACTTTCTTGCTATTTGCCAAACCTGTTTCTAGAATAATATCATGCCTTTTTGTTCAATCAATGTTTGATGGAAATACAAAATGGTTATCACGTTCAGGAGCACCTGGTTTCTCCCATTTGTTCCTTATTCTATACCGGGAAAACTGTACTGTTGTAGTTACAGAAACCTCTGTCCGTGCCTAGTGCTGCCCTATGTCCAGCTTTCCCTAGACTGATCCTTCCCCACCCCTGCCTGGGTCTGAAATTCCAGGCAGGTGTCCAGAGTCCTCACATTTTATTGCTCAGTTTCCAGACATCCCGATTGCACTCATCGGTCACATGCAGGCCATTTTTAGCAGGGGTGCAGCATGGCTCCCACATCTTCTGTTTGCTTCATCTACCGCTTTTATCTTTAATCTGATCTTTTCTGAATAGTACGTATCCTTCAGTGGTTGTACCCTACTTAGGACTGCTGCTCTGTGTTGTTTATGCTTTTATAGTAATTGCAGCTTTTCATCTTGCACCCGGAATTCAAGTTTGTTCCCTAGGCAGATAAAGAACAACCCTGCCACTAGCTGTGTTGTATGCCTGGCTATGGTTTTTACTAATATTAGAACTAATTTTTTCTTTGCTGTCTATTCTTAATCTGCTGATTATTTTTTCGTCTGCTTGCTGTGTCGTCGTGTGTACTAAAACAGGGTATGACAATTAAATGACTCTTTCCAGCTTCCCCTGGTTTCTCATTGCAAAGCTGCTCTTCTTTCTTATACCAGTGTTGATCTTGGCTAGTTCACAAACGTATGTGTGGTGTTTTTATCATTTTTACTCATAAGTTTCTAGTGTTTTATGATGCAGTAAATGACAGTAAGGAATTGTTTTTTCCCCCTAGTTCTGATGATTTTGAATTGCTTCTAAAGATAGATTTTGCATTTTTTAATTTCCACCTCGGTAAATAATCTCAGAACAACCTTTGTAACTGTTTAACAACCAAAAAGAGACATAATTTTATCCTACTATTACTACATTGAAGGGATAATCAAGCTAATTATGATGGATTTCTTTCTGTTCATAATTTAAGGAGATGTGCCCACTGACTTTAAATGCTTCCTGTTGAACCGAGTAAGTGGCCAGAAGAACTTGAGTACAATCCTAGCCGCCCTAAAACTAAGTATTTGGTGTCTGCTTCCTTTTTTCTCTCTAAAGACTCTTTTTGGAGGAGCTTTGGTGGCTTGAGAAGGCTTCTTTTTTAGCCAGTTCTGTTTTTTTTTTTTTTAATCCCTTTGACTTTCTGTCCTCTCTTGAGTTCCCTCTGGCCAGCTAACGAGATGGAAAATTGAGCAGTGGCGCAGAGTCCTTTCACATGGCTCTAGTTCCAGCCACAGCACTGTGCTTCCTTCAGGATTGGGCGGGTGGCTTCTTGTTTTTTAGGAGACATCAGCATTACAAAAGCTTTATTTCAAGCCCTTGCCACGTTTCTGGTCTGTCTCCAAGCTGTTCTTTACAGCTTCAGGCTGATGAGCTCATGTCTGTTTGGCCTCCAGTAGAACAGAAGATACTTTGCCATCAGAGTATTCCCCATTTTTTTTTTTTGTTCGTCTATTTTTAATAAACGTGCTCGTTGCCATGTAAGTTCTGTATGACTGATAAAAAACATGGTATAGTTTTTACTCACACCGGTGATATATAACTTCCCCTCAAAAAGAGGTTGTTGGCGCTGTGTTGCAGTACTTGCTGGTTATTACTATGCATTTGTGGCTTTGATCCTGGGTGGTAATTGATGGTGCACCCCTGTCCATTTCCATTTGCGCAGTCTGGTGAGATGCTGAAGAAGGCTGTGCATTAAACAGCTTTCTGCTCACTTGGCTGATGATTATGCTAAGCTGGAAGACTGGTGAGGAGAAGGGGAGAAGCCAGAGGTACGGAGGAAGTGCTTAGGGCATGGCGTTCAGCTGTGGTTTGCGTGACACCTGGGGCTGTGTATAACTTCATGGGAATAGTGGAGTTTTAGATAAACTGAACTGGACTCTTTGTGGGAAGGTGCCCAGCGATCTCGATGCACGTAGTTCCTGCGGCATCGGTAGCAGCTGCGTGGGGTCTCCGTGGCGGTGCAGCTGCCTGGTAAACGTGACTGCAGCCATCCTCATCAGTGGAGAAAGCCAATGATACACAGAAAGTATGTTTTGTAATGTTCTTCTGTTGTGATTGTTTTGCCTGGCAGATACAGGGTTGACATGCTAGTTAACATGTTTCTTCTGGGCATCTGTAACTTTAAAAAAAGTGGGGGTAGACGAGTGGGGAATTTTGATCTGTCAATTACTTCTTCCAGGGGCAGTTTTCCAAGGAAAAGCCCTTGGACAGTCTGCAGTGACCTCCCACCTCTTCCTTCCATGGCTTGGTCGGGTCTGTGCGCTGTACCTTTCTGAGAACAAGGTAACTACTTGTGGCCGAATGATAGTGAACCAAGTTCACTAAGAAAGTTCACCAAGTTCACTAAGGGTGAAGCCAGTTGAAAGGGCTCTGGCTTGACTGTGCATGCAGGAGGGGGAACCAGAGCTAGAATTACATACCAGGGCTTACGCGTTCTTGCTAGCGCTTCCTGCTCTCCGGCATAGATTATCCTGGCACTGGCTTCCATTTTCTCCTTTTCTCTCCCCCATCTTTGCTTCCCCACATCTGTGGTACTGGAATTAGTGCTGGCTGTTCAGGAAAAAATGTTGTGGCTCCTAGGTTGGGAGCCAGGCAATACCATTTCCTATGTCCTCGACTGGTCTGGCTCTGAGGCAAACCAAGGAACCTGTGTCTGTGGATATTCTGGTTAGCAAAAGCTAGCCTATATATAGTTTGGTTGATGGCTTTAGGCAAGCTATGATAAACCATGATCTTTTTTGGAGAGGAAGAATGAGAGGGATTACAGTGACAAGCTTTCAAAACCAACAATTAGTTTATGTTTTCAAAGTATGTCCACAAGTGGGGAGGTTGCAAAAACGCGTAATATTTTACAATCCTTAATGTAGAAATCTGTGGCTTTCTTTTCTTGTTCTTTTTGCTGTGTTTTGTTTTGTTTTTAAATACATGGGACTTGATCTTAGGCTTCGTTGTGTTTAGAAACTGCACATCATGTTGGACATGCAGCCACTCGGGGAATGTGCTGATCTGTTGGCATGTATAAAAGAGACGAAGAACTTGTGTGTCATTTGAGGGTATGAGGGATGGAGAGGAGTAAGCTTACCCAATAACATTTAACTTAAATCTGCATGGTTCTTAAATCAGACAACTCCACCGCTGGACATACAGCTGTTTGTCTAAAGGTCTCAAGCAATTAAGATCTCTTTTGAACAGAGCTCTGTTTAGGATCAGCATTTTTTATGCAAGTGGGAGGCAAGTAGCAACAGTAAACGTAACAGTATTTTTATTCATTGACCTGACAGATTTCTCCTGTGATAATTGTCTGAGCACCTAACCGCACACAGAAGGCACAGTGGGAAGAGACTATGAATGGCAGATCCTATTGCTTTCCAAGAGTGTATTTTCACGTCTAGGATTGGAAGCACTACAGGTGCGCTGTAGTGCACAAAATTTTAAAGCTGTTTGGTTAGCTGCCCTTTCTGTCCTAAAACTGCTCATTTCCCTTACTAATGCGGGCAAGTAAAATCCTAATGGTTGGTGTCAGATTCTTGCTTAAAAGGCAAAACCTTCTAGATACTAATGTGTACCTTGGTGCCTGCTTCACAAACTCAGTTGTTCTTGTTTTTTTCTTCTTTCTTGAAGCCAGATTTCTGGTATGGTTCTTATAGCATTAAACTATGGATATCACTAGCAGCTCTGTTACCCTAGTTTTTGACTTGTCTGTGTGAAGCTGCTGCTTCACAACAAATGAGGGTGTCTCACCAGTAGCTCCTGATTTAGATGGGTTTGAGTGCCGAGATGCTGCGTTGATGGAAGCAGCATAAAAACTGTCTAGAGTTTGGGCCAGCTTCTCTCGCCTTCGTGCCTTTCAGTCAAGCTAAAGAAGCCATAAGGAGCTTGGGTAGAAATTCTTCATGGGGAAAGTCTTAAGAAAAGAGCCTCTGCTCCCCTCTCTCCCCTAGTGTTTTGGCATTTGTGGAGCGTGGAGGACAGCGTCAAGTAAAGCAGAGCTGCTACCTTTTTCTGGCTGTTACTGATGTTCCTCCAATAGCAGAAGTTTGAAAGAACACTTTCCACTATGGCAAAACCACATGTGGGTGTGATGCAGCATAGGAAATTTTGTTCTATGTTCTCTCCTAGTTGCTGGCATTATTGTGAAGACACTACTTGATCTCCTTACTTGGCTCTTCTTGATTCGGTTCCTCACCTTCAGTCCTGTCAGCTCAGCCAACAGATTTCACAGTCACCCTTCCCACTCCTTGAGTACTGCTCAAAGTACTGAGGGAGTAACATGCCATAGCTGCTACTGCCCAGTTCTTCTCTGAAAATATTTGCTTGTCCTTCTCCTTGCGTTTGTGGAGAGAGAGAGGACTGCATGTGACTGCTTGGTGGTAGTTGTCAGACATAATAGAGGATGAAAAGTAACGCAAAATATGAGCGTATAGAGAAGGCTAAGAATCCAGTCTTGGAAGAAAATCCTTGCGTTGATGGGTTGCTCTCTAGTATTTGAATATAGTATGCAGAAGTATTTGAGAGACAAGAGATAGATTTAAAGGGGGGAATGAAAGTATTAACATGGTCAGCATCAACAGTTGGTCAGCATCATCAGCCGTAGCATCAATATGCAAGTGCCTACATGATTTTACAGAATTGGTTTTATGCTATTTTTCTAGCAAAGGGCTGTATAGTTGCGGTCTGTCTGTCCTTCTGTCAGTCTCTCCTTCGTAAGTTTTGAACACACTGGTTTTGTTCCAGGTAAGCTCGAATGGGCTTTGAAAATCTCAGAAATTCAGACTCCTGTAACATTTGTGGGAATGGTTTGCTTTGTGGCAAAAGGCCAAAAAGAGTTGCAAGGAGACCCCATTAGTTCTGCAAACGTTTTGGGGAAGGAGGTCCTAAGCATGAATGATGCTTACTTGAAAATCTAATGAGTTATAATGGAGGCAGCCATCCTAAGTCAACAGAAAAATAGTGTTATTCCTGATTTTGAGCTAAAATATGATTTAAATCTCTACCTTAGACTTAGGAAACCAACTTTCAGTCATCTTATACATAAGGTATTTGAAGGCTTACACAAGTTTTATTCTGTCTGAGAAGGGACAATGAAATTATTATGGTGGTCTGATTTAACAAAATAAAATCTGAATAAAGCTGAAAATCAGCTCTTTCATTACTTTTCCATTTACAGCTGTTGCCGTCTCGCTGGACAAGTAGACTTGGGAATATATCTTGATGTGAAATGTTGCAAGGAATGCAGAAGAAAGCTATACAGTTTGGTTGTGTTCAGTTGGACATCCATTTAGTTTCCTTTCTCTGTAGGAGATCTGTTTCTTAAAATACTTTTTGTTGCTGAGAGTGTGTAAGTTTGCAGTTGTTTTCTAAACATTCTAATTTGTACTTTATTAACATTTTCATAGCTATTGTTGAGTGTCATTACCGAAATGATTCAGCACTCTAAAGAGCTCTGATATGTAACGAGCAAGAAAATGTTGCATCTGTTTTACCTACTGTTTTTTGGCTGCCTGTCCCTCAAACTTGTTTTTCTAAGGAGTGAAATCTCTGCATGTTAGACTAATTACTGCACGTCAGTTTCTTAAAAAGGCTTGGACGTCAGCTATGCAAAAGTAATGAGACGTCGTGGTGTAGCCAAGGGTCCAAATATCTATTACGTACATGCAGTTGAAATGACCATATAAAATGAATGTGGTGCTAATAGTTGTCTCTGTAGCAAGCCATGGATTAGTGTTCCCCCCACACTGTTCACTTTAAATACTGTGGTGAATAATATTAATGAGCATCGATGGTCCAGGGACCTTAAAACTGTTGACAATTCATAGTTGCTCTTTGCCACATAGATGTACTTACAGCTGTGCAAGGGTCAGCCAAAGTGATACCAGGTGAGTTAAATCCATTAACTATTTCCTTTTTCCTGTTGTTGTTGGGGGCTGACTTTGAAATTGGTGGAAACTTTGCTGTTGCTGTAATTCACAGAGGAATTGGCTGTTTGTTCTTAAAAATTTTCTTCCTTAGGAGGAGGTCTGCTTCTGCTTCCACTTTGCCCTCCCAGGTTACGGAATGATCTCTTCCAGCGTTGAGCTGTGCGAGTACAGGTGTCCCTTCTAATCGGATAATAAGAATAACCAGATTTGTGTACATTTCCCACCTTTTTTTTTTTTTTTTTTTTTTTTTAAAGCCTGAGACTGCAGCTGTGCTGAAGCGCACTGTTGAGGCTCTTATGGAGAGAGGAGCCATTGTGAGGAACCTAGAAAACCTGGGAGAAAGGTCTCTGCCTTACAAAATCTCCAAGCACAAGGAGCGCCACAGAAGAGGAGGGTATGCATGATGTGTTTTGCCTTAAAATCCTTTAAGTGCTCCTTTATAAATGTACATATGTAACTCTCATTGTTTGGTCTTCCGTGTGCTTTTTGGGAGTACACCTGTAATGTCTCTGATTTCAGTAAGGTGGTGTGTGGCTGTGCGTGCATGTGTGCATTCTGCTTCAAGTGTTACGTGTTTTTTATTCTGCGTGGTGTAGGGTTTTTGTTGGTGTTTAGTCTTTGTGTTATGAGTAGCCTGAGTCCAGGCCTGCAGAACTGCTTTCCCCAACATACACAACGTTATTTTGTTATATCATTTTTACGTAACTATTTTCCAAGCCAGTCAGGCTGTTTACTGATAAAAGTCTTGTTTAATCTGCTGGTTGCTAGTTGGCAGGATTGATTCTTTTTCTCTAATGCATCTGAACTAAATGTTAATTACCATGTGTACCCTGTAAGACTTGCTTGTGTTTCTGATACAGTGTTTGGTAAGGATGTTAAAGATGACCATGTGGTTTACAGGAAGTACAATAAATGTAAATGAAGCTGTGAATTGGCATCTCGCATGTCGGGCTTCTCCCACAGTGCAGGAGGAAGGTGCTGTGAATCACACCCCCGGCTCCCTTACGCCGGTGTGTTTGCTCCTTGAGGCTACCTCCGAAATGGATGCTGGCTCTGGCAAGGACTGAGAAACGTTGCTAGGCAACCCGCACTGCGCAGGGGCTGCCTGCCGTAATCAAAATAACAATTAGCGACACGCTCCTCCTAATCCCTGTAATGCAACTGTGCATAATCGGATGGTTGGCCAACCTGCCTACCTACCGTCTTCCTTGAGGGGCGTTTGGCACTGGGGAAGGTGAGGTGACTCCAGAGGTGCACCTTTTATGAAGCCCTTCCTGGATCATCTCCCCGGGGGTGACTCACGGTTTCACTCCCTCTTCTGAGGACCTCTTCATTCTCCTGCAAAGTGGGAGCAGTGACAGCTGCCAGTTAAAGCAGATTGACGGAAAGGGTAGGGGAGGAAATCTCCACCACGTACCTGTTACTTAACCAAAAGCAATGGCGTTGTGGTCATGACTGTTTTGCACTCCCGCTCCATGGTGTCCTTTGCAACATGGCTTGATCCTGCCAGTTTTGCATTTTAGGATGAAGTCTTGTTGCCTACACACGGGAGGTAATCAAAGCCTTGTCTCAAGATAGAATTACTAATTACCTCATTCTTCTGTTGGAGTAGAAGCATTTTATAAACATTAAAGTCTTTTCCGACGGCTTCAGCAGAACAAGGAGCTGGTGTTACTCTCCTTGTACAGGTGGGGAGCTAAGGCAGAGGGACTAAGTTCCACTAATTTTTGGATGCTGAAGTTGAGACACTTAGCTTCTAGATTTTTTTTTTTTCCTAGAGTACTTAGCACACTGTAACATTTCAGGACTTCGGATGACAGTTTCCTCTTGGCTTGTACTTGGCAGTACTTCTGCAGATCAGGTCTTGGGTTCTTCAACAGGGAAACCAGGACAGGAGAAGACAGTAACCAGCATCACAAGAACTGTGTAGCAGAGATGAATAGAAGCCATTTCTCCAGGGGATCTTTCAGACATGTAAACTAGCTTAACTCATTTACTGTAGCAGATTATCTACTTAATAAGCAGGATGAGGGGATCTGTAGACTATAACCCTCTTCTTTGCAGAGTCCTCAGAGCAGACATATTTTGTGCTCTGAATGAGGCAAGGTTTTAGTAGCAAATAATTGCGATTGTGTCTTAACACGGGCAGGAAGCCATCAGATTAATGTCACCATTGCTGTTCCTCCTCCACCTCCCAGTTCAAGTGTCTCTAAATATTTAGCAGTCATTCTGCTTGCCCTGGATTTGGATCCTCTGTATGTGAAGATGACAGTTCCCTCCCCTAAATTGCTTGGCTTCTTGAAAGGGAGAAGTGATTGAGAGAGGGTACTACAGGAAATAGTTGATTTTCTGTGCTTTTAATTGGAGAACTCAAATTCAGGAGACAAGAGATATTACAAGGGGAAGCAGCAGGCAGTTTCAGTACCTGGTAATGTGGAGAATTTATTTCTGTAGATTTTTCTGGGGAGTGTACACAATATTTGTAGCAACAAATTGCATGAAAATTGTAGTGCAATACAATAGTCATAGCATGGGTCACAGCTTAATAGCGTGTCTCTTAGAGACAGCTCTTGTCCTAGTGACCGCTGCACGAACCGTCTCCTGTCACTCAGAATGGCGTGGAATCCCCCCACTTTCGTGAGGTGTTTGTCTGAAAAACAAAACAAACCAAAGCAGTCGTCTTCTCCGGTGTAGTGAGCGTAGCTTTGCTCCCTTATAAAACTCCGAGTGCTATCCAGGCTGTGTCCCTTAACCTTAAATCAAGGGCCATCAATAGGGCAGCACCAGCTATTCACAGGTCAACTGAGATGTGCTCTGTGGCATGCCTAGTAGTCATCCTTCTCCCGGACTTTTGCTGTACGTTTTCTTCATTTAGTTAGTTCCATTTTTAACTGCAATTCAAGTCTTTATATACAGCATATCATAAAACTGAGCGATTGACAGCAAAAGGACACAGTGCGATGTGCGGCAAAGCTACTGCTGGACTTAGCCAGGTTTTGGTAGTGCCTGTAGTGAACAGTAAAGAATTAAACTGGAAGACACATATTCATAGGTCAATAGGGAGGATAGTTGTCTCCTTAGTAAAGTGCTTTTCCCCCCTCTGAGTTCTGTAGTGCTTTGGCATCATCTGTCTCCGATATACTGCACTACAGGCGCATTACAAATTTAAGAATATCCAGGGGACTTTACAGAGAATGAGAATTTTACTGCCAATTGATCTGTAAAGCTGAGATCTTTCAAAGCCTGGCATAGGGGATTGTGGCCCACAGCTGTCACTGGAATGAGCAGTTTTACTCTCCCAGGCAGCTTTGAAGACCTCAGATCAAACATATAATTGACTTGTTTCTTCTCAGGAAATTATATTCACTGAGCAGGTGGTGCATGTGCATTGAGGGTATATTAAAACAAATTTAGGTCTTTCTCTTAAATGCATCTCTTTTGGCAGAAAACGCCCTCCTTTTTTTAGAGACCTAATATTGACAGCTTTTGCATTTAAGTAATTATGAAAATAGTATGTTTCAGGAACTGTGTGGATATGTCTGAAGAATCAAACTTTTGAATCACTGGTTTACCGATATTTTAAACTGAAGTTGAATTAGCTACTAATTCACGCTTACGGTATTAATTGCCATAGTAGAACATTAATATTTTGTTTTTAAAGTATTTAAGAGCGTGATTCAAGTAACATCTCACAAAATTGTAACAAATACTCCTCACCTTATAGATGAATAAAATGTGACAAGGACACATTGGTTCCAGTGTGGGTTAGGTATGTAAATTTAGTTGAGGCATGGAGCCTGAGTGACTTGCCCATGGCCACTGCATCTCTGAAAAAACAGTGGAAGAACGTAAATAAGGATTCCCAACTTTATCTCCTAATGGGCAATAGATTTGTGCCAAATACTTGTTCTACGAGCCACTACTTGTTTATCATTTTTAATGAGTTGTATTTAAATTGCTTTTAACATGGTGCATTTTTTAAAATATTGTATTACATGTGTCAGGAGGTGCTTATTTCTGGAACAAACAAAAGTGAACTGATTTAAATGAGGTGTGTACTAGTAGTTGAATTCAAGGAATGTTAAACTCTGGATTTTTTTGGCTGTTTAAGATGATACAGAAGCAATGAATCCCTCAAAGCAGCTTTCAAATAAAGGATCCAGACAGGGGCCGGGTGACGACATTGCAGAGCCATTGCTGCATATTTGGTCAGTGCTAAGCTGGAGAATATTGCAACTGCTTGTAAAATGGTAGATCTCAGTAGCACAGTCTGTGGGTTTGCACTTTGTGGCATACCTGTTTTCTTTGGCCTTACCAGGCTATGCGTTAATCATATGCTTGTGACACTTCATGCTTCAGGACATCAGATACAGGAGGTGGCTTGGGGGACGTGGTTGGTATGTAGGATATTTTTACTTTAGGGGAGATGGTACAAGGGCGGCTGCAAAACAGATCTGTAAAAACCCGTAAGATTCAAGACACTCCTTTGGGAAGGTAATGGCTCAGACTTTTTGCAGACCAGGAATCTATTAAACTGGAAGGAGCTATGACAGGGGCTTTGGGGAGAAGAAAGTGGCCAAGTGTAACTGGGTTTTGAATACTGGTTATCTTGCTATCCCCTAGACATTTGTTGTTAGCGATTTTATTTCCCCCCCAAATGTTGCTTCTGTTCTTATTTTTGTTATCTCTGTTGTAGAAAAGATGATATACATCAGCCTGGTCAGTGCTCAGATTTAGTACGGTTTTGTACATCAGTAGAGCACTGTGGTCTTTCCCTTCTTTGTTTTGTGTATGTGTGTCCTTTCCCCTATTAAATCTACCTGTAATACAGTAATGTTTTTAGACCTTTCTCCCCACATTTTTATTATTTCATTTACTTTATTTGTGAGTTCTCCAGCTAAACTGTGCGTAATTCTGATTATTCATAACAATTTCCATGTTCTATTTGCCAGTTTTTCATTGCCTTGTTGTTTTTTTCCCTTTCAAATTTGATTTTGAAAAGATGGCAATTTTCTTTTGTTATTTGGTGCTTGTCTCTTAATCTTTTTGTTTTGCCGTTCACTCCCAGTTATCTCATCAGCCCACTTGTTCTCTGAAATAGCAAACTCCTCAGGTCTTACTTTTTTTCTTGCTGAATTGTATTTTGGGAGCTTGTCTTAACATGTGCATGAGGAATTTTCTGTAGGAGGTGTGCAGGGACCCTGGTGATTGCCAGGGTCCACTGAGGAGCACAGGGTATACACCGATAACATCTAATGGGATCAAGAGTCCGAAAATCCAGGTTGCAGTGTTAGTTGTGCTGTGGACTTGTTTGTGTGATGGGGGAAAATGGCAAAGCAAGGAGGTCATTTCCCAAGGATGCAGGATGATGAACTCAACTTGGCTTCCAGGCCC